CCCTGTACAGTTTACAGTCCTTTGGGACATGGGGGTTACTTATGACCCTGCTAAGAGGGTGCTCTGGGAAGGAGGAACAAGCCCTTCTTGGTAAATTCACAGGTAACCATCCTCTTTGTTCTATTGAACAAGGCAATCAGAGTAAACACCCCTGACCTTGCAACAGCTGAGCAACTTCTTTTTGCAGCAATAATAGAGAATTCACTCTGCAAAAATTCCTTTCTTTAAACATAGCCCCCCCCCCCATACAGTAGTTTAGTGAGACCCACCAGGTTGTTCTCTTGAATTTCCAAGCTTTTTCAAATGTTAATTGGCAAACGTAAATGCCATCAGCAGTGACAGAATTGCCAAGCCCAAGTCTTTAAAAAACCCCACTCAGGCCTCCAAAAACAGAGACTGCTTTTAAAAAGCCTGAGATGACGCTTTATAAAGTACACTTTTTATGGGGTTGGTGCTTTTGGTCACTCAAGCAACTATGAGTGTTTTAATTACAGGTCTGTCGCATCTTAGGCGCATTTAACATGCGCGATTTCAGCTTTACGCGGTCGACACAAAGAATAAAAAACAAAAAAAAAGAGAAAAAGAACAATTTAAATACTGTTTCTGTAGTGCGGGCGATTCCGCCCACCATTACACTCAATGTAATTTTGACTATATGGGATTTTCACTTTAGGCGCTGACTGCGGAACGTAACCCCAGCATGAAATGAGACAGACATGTATCAACTTCTGTTTAAAAGAAAAAGTGTCTCGTCACCACTTGTTTGCAGGAGCTGGGGGATGTGAGAACAAACACCCACTCCTGTGAGACTCGTGATAAAGCGGCACATTAATGGCTGGTTGGACTTTAGGGCTAGATTTTTATAAAAGGAAAAAGGTGAAATCCGCGCTCCACCGCAGTAAATGACAGAGCTCCCCTACCCCTGGATTTCACCCTGTGCTTCCTCCCACATTTTATGGCCCAGACCCCCATCTGCACGTTGTAAAATCTCCCCCTTGGCGAGAGCCGGGAATGCACCTTCAGCGCCTGGTGCAAAGCTCACACTGAGGGGTGGCGCACGGGGCCCGTCTCGCCCTCCCCCGAGGGGCTGGGGGCAGCCGGGGGAGCAGCGCTAGTTCCCCTCACGCCCAGGGCCGTCCTTAGGATTTATGGTGCCCTAGG